TTGGAAAACAAATTTTGCATGTATTTTAGACAAACATAGATCCAAGGTTTATTAGGGTTGCATGTACACTTAGGAAGTGTTAGAATGCTCAAAACCCAACAATGTGCTCATGAAACGAGGAAAGGTTATCGCCTATGCCTCGAGGCAGTTGAAAAAACACGAGGTAAATTACACAACTCACGATCTATAGTTGGGAGCAGTGGTCTTTGCATTAAAGATCTGGAGACACTATCTCTATGGAACCAAGTGCACTATATTCACCGACCATAAGAGCCTGCAACACATTTTTGATCAGAAAGAGTTAAACATGAGACAGCGGCGATGGGTAGAGCTACTCAGTGACTACGAGTGTGACATTCGCTACCATCCCGGCAAGGCCAATGTGGTAGCAGATGCCCTCAGCCGAAAGGAGTATTCAGGGCGAAAGGTGAAAGCATTAACAATGATCATTCATTCCCATCTATCCGTGCAAATCAGAGAGGCTCAGCTGGAAGCCTTGAAACCAGAGACAGTGGCAGATGAAGCATTGCGGGGAATGGATAAGAACTTAGAGGTCAAGGGAGACGGGGTGTATTATTTCATGAACCGGATCTGGACCCCAAAGTTCGGCGGGTACAGAGAGGTTTTCATGAATGAGGCTCACAAGACGAAATACTCCGTTCACCCAGGTTCAGATAAGATGTATCTGGATCTCAAACAGCTCTATTGGTGGCCAAACATGAAAGCGGAAATTGCAACCTTCGTGGGTAAGTGCTTGACTTGCGCCAAGGTGAAGGTGGAGTATCAAAAGCCCTCAGGTTTACTTCAGCAGCCAGAAATACCTGAGTGGAAGTGGGAAAGGATAGCAATGGATTTTATCACTAAGTTACCTAGATCTCCGAGTGGACACGACGCCATCTGGGTAATTGTCGATCGGTTGACAAAATCCGCCCACTTCCTGCCAATCAAAGAAAACTTCAAAATGAAGAGACTCACGCAGATCTACATTCGAGAGATAGTTCGCCTTCACGGGGTACCTGTATCCATTATCTCCGACCGAGATAGCAGGTTCACCTCAAGGTTTTGGCAATCGCTACAGAAGGCTCTTGGAACTAAGTTGGATATTAGCACGGCTTATCATCCACAAACAGACGGACAGAGTGAGAGGACAATCCAGACATTGGAAGATATGTTGAGAGCCTGTGTCATTGACTTTGGCACGTCATGGGACACTCATCTTCCTTTGGTCGAATTTTTTTACAATAACAGCTACCATACCAGCATCAAGGCTGCGCCGTTTGAAGCCCTCTATGGCCGCAAGTGCAGATCCCCTCTGTGTTGGGCTGAGGTGGGTGACACGCAGCTAGTCAAGGGTCGAGTCCCCGACAGCACTCTCACAGGTCCTGAAATCATCCGAGAGACGACTAAAAAGATCGTACAAATCCGGGAACAGCTGAAAGCCTCACGAGATAGACAAAAGAGCTATACCGATAAGAGACGAAAACTCTTGGAGTTCCAGGTTAGTGACCGTGTTTTGTTGAAGGTCTCACCCTGGAAAGGCATGATACGTTTCGGAAAGCGAGAAAAGCTGAATCCAAGATACGTTGGACCGTTCGAGATCCTTGCTAGGATCGGTCCAGTAGCGTACAAACTCCAGTTACCCCGAGAACTTAGCAACATACATCCCCGTCTTCCACGTGTCGAACCTAAAGAACTATCTGTCTGATGAAACACTTGTGATACCCCTCGATGAGATCGAACTAGACGAGAATTTGCACTTCGTGGAAGAACCTGTAGAAATCATGGACCGAGAAGTCAAACGAACGAAACAAAGCCGCATCCCGATAGTGAAGGTTCGCTGGAATGCCAAGCGGGGACCTGAATTCACTTGGGAGCGCGAGGATTCAATGAAACAGAAGTACCCTCATCTCTTCCCGAGTCCATGATTTGTATTATGTGTCTGAATTTCGGGACGAAATTCCCTCTAACGGGGGGATGATGTGAGAACCCGAAACTTTTTCCGTTCCGTTATGCGGTTTCCGTTAATAAAATTTGAAATTATTAATTTTCCGTCAAACTTCTTGGTTTAGAAAATCATCTAGTTTTATATAATTAAACTTATATATGCGAGTCGGAACCAAATCGCGCAAAAGAACCGAAGTCTCCTCAAAAATCAAAACAATTTTCGACCTAAGTGAGTTTACGACCGTAAACGAGTTTACGGCCGTACACCCGTTTACGGCCAGTGTCAGGTGGACCCCCATCCACCGACCACAAAACCCCTATAAATATGAGACCCCCACCCTCATTTGAACGCTGTTGGCCGAAAACTCTCTCCTTCTCTCTCTAAAAACCCTGACCGTAAACACCTAAAAACAACTTCAATCTTCGGGAAAACATCAAGAAACACCATTTGGAGTCATTTCGGGACGTCTGGAGCACTTTTCTCTTTTAAATTAGCACCCTTGTTCTTGAGTTTACGGCCCACCTTCAAAGACCGTAAACTCACCGAGTCTTCAAAGGCCGTAAACCCCAGTTCACGGCCGTAAACCCTGTTCACGGGCGTAAATTGTATGTCGACCGTAAACCCTTGTTCACGGCGCGAAAAATCGATCCCTTGATTCAATCAAGTCCCGGTAACATCCCTCAACCGAGCACAAGTGTTCTTCTAACACTTTATCTAACGAAATCGCTAATTTAGACACATATATGTATTTATTTGATAATAGGATTCCGTTAAGTGCCACGTACAACAGCTCGAGGATCTTCATTTCAGTCGACGCTTTCACATAACAACAGTGAGTTCATACCCCTACACTTTTACTGGTTTTAAAACGTTTTCAGGGGGAGAATACAAGCTAAACCATAAATGCTTTTGTAAATTAATACAAATAGCTTTTAACAAATATAAAACTCATGCAATTCTCATACTTTAACCCTTTTGTACTATGTTGAGGATAAGGGAAGTTTTTCAACTTATCACTAAATTGCATAGTTTTCCGGACTCGATATTCACTACGTTATACATGCAAAATATAATAGGTATAGTTTGGGATTTTTGAAACATAACAAGTACAAAAACTGTCACTACTAAACATATATGACATATTTAGTTATAGTTTACATCACAACATGAACATGGCATTCATAACTGTAATTGTCACTACATACTGTAGACATACGGATTTCACTACGGAATAACGCTACAACACTATATGTAAACTAGATTGTACGATACTGTGAGGCTCTACTTCAACACTGTACCCTTAGGTGTACAGGGATAAATCCTATCATAGTATAACCAGAGTCTCCTGGAGGGAGAGCGTGAGATTTGTGAATAGATCTATTCGGGACTGACAATCCCACACCCGAACTGCTAACTACAGTTAGGCAGGCATGCCTGGGGTGACAAATGTCATTTAACTCAACGCCTGAAGAACGTTGGAAAGGTCTCTAGTCATATAAAGTATGGTTATACGACTCACAATATGTATAAATCACCTTTAGTTTGCAAGTTGGCACTCTTCAACAGTTTTATTTATACTAAATAGAACTAATACACACTACAACTGGAGAATTTCCAGGGTTTTCAAACAGAACTGATCATACAATGGTTTCACGTACGAAATACTTATACATCATGATTAGCATTAGCTAGTCACATGAAGTATTATTTTCGCATATCACTACAGTTTTCAGTAACGAACATTCATGGTTTTATACAGGATTGAAAACACTACATTTTCACTAAAGAAAATATCGGATTTTCTTGGAAACATACAGCTATTCATGGTTTTATACAGAATTTAAAACACTACGTTTTCACTAAAGAAAATATCGGATTTTCTTGAAACTATACGAACACCTTTACAAGCTCATCAACAAGTTTTCATTACAAAATACCACTTATGAACTCACCAGCTTTATGTTGATATTTTTCAAACTGCTTGTATTCTCAGGAAATCAGTAGACAGATACCTGCTGGATTTTTTTTGAGGAGCTGGAGCAATAAGAGTTTTATGTTTATATTTTACAAACTATTTGATGTAATTCAAACAAGTTTAAGACAAAGTTCCAAACTGGTGTAATCATTTTCATTTAAGTATTCACTGTAATGGTTGTGTTGCTATGATTGCTATTATTCATTGGTTGTGATGCTACACATGACGTCCTCCACCCCAGAATGTTTCCGTCATTCTGGTTTTGGGGTGTGACATGACATAAGCTATTTGATGGATTAACAATACATTGTCGACAACGAAAACTTCTTAATACGTAAAAACATTTGGGCCCATGTCGTGTGGTCCCACATCTCGCACCTCCTCTCGGCCGACCCTTTTCTTCCATGTACCTCGATTTATTTATTTATTTCTTTTTTTTTATAAATTGGCATAAATATCGTTTCACCATATATTGTTATTAAAAATCTCAATAAAATTTAAAATTTAACATTTCATTTTGTAGTAAAAAACTAATAAAATGTAGTAATTCTTATTGTCATGTAACTTTCTACATTATTTTATTCAATACAAGCTTATAATGAAGTTAGGATGCAAGGTAAATTAATTTTGTAATATAAAAAGTTAAAAACAATTTGTGTTGGAAAAAAAAGTCTCAAAACAATGTTAAAAGAAAAGGCCAATTAAATTATATATATATATATATATATATATATATATATATATATATATATATTAAAATTCTCCTACCTTAATTACAGTAAAGTTGCAAAGGTTTTGGCAGATTTGGTCCACAACTTTTCATATTTTCAATGGTATAGATTTTTGCCACCAATTTGGTCCCTTAAATTATCAACAATTATCAACAGTCGAAGGTCGACATTTATCTGGGGTTGGCACAAATGGTCCTTTGTTTATATATCTTTTTTCAAATCCGTCTCTATGGTCACTTTATGTCAATATCCATATTTTTTGTGGACACGTGTTGAAAACAGTTCCGGTTTCCCAGTCATTTTATCCCCACACAGCCGTAGGTTAATCGGTCCAGTTGCTTCCTTACACCGCTTCTTATCCAACCGGTCAGTCTGCTTATCTCGAAGCTTCCCACCGCCTCTCCAAAACCATCCATCTCTATCTGAACTCATTGGTGTCCCTTATCACTAACCGTCATGCCATTCGCTTAGGGTCGATGTCTGACTTCCGATGGATTTCTAGGGCAAAGTCATAGAGGTGCTTCCATGGTGAAGGATGGCTTCGCTAGATTTAGTTCCCTCTGTCGAATATTATTGGTCTCTCGCATCCGCCCATGCCTCCTCTTCTCCCATCTCGGACGTCCCCTCCCGCTGTGTGCTATGACCATCCTCGATTTAGCTTCCAATACCGGTGTACCTCAACGTGATCGCTCCAGCAAGGTTGTGCGTCGTCACCGCTTTCGCCACCGGTATCCTCAGACTCTTTTCATTTCGACTTCTACCCCTGAATCTCCTTCTGTGTCTGAATTAATGTGGTCCTAAATTTTGAATCGGTGAGTCTGAAGCCAATTTCTGTTCCTTTTGCGTTCATAGATCGATTATGGGTTCCAGTCGTCTCCCTTTTATCGATTGGAGCTTCACAAAATTGTTAGGATACGTCTCTCTAAAAACCCTAATTACTTCATAATTTTATTTAGTTTTGTTTGTTATGCCTACCGTATCTGAGTAATTACATTTTTATGATTTGTGCTTTACAGGTGTTCAAGAAAGGGGGATATAAGAACCAACAATCTAAAACCAGAAGGACAACGTAGCATTATCCAACTTAGAGCACCGAAAACCCTGTCATTTCATTGTTTGTGATTCTATCTATCTGTCTTCCAAACTCGATTTCTTCAAAAATTTAGTGATGATTTCTCTTCTCATGTCATTTGTGTGTGTTTTCTAGGGCTAAATTGTGAATGGAAAGAAAACAAATATCGCTCAGGAAGAGAGAGAAGGGAGATCGATGCTGCCTTCTCTCTGGTGAAAGTGGATTTACAAAATTCACAGGTAAGTATCGTTTGGTTCCCTATTTACACAAAGTATTAATCATTAAAGAAATTTTTTTTTTTTTTTTGTAGAATGAATTGGCAACTTTGGAGCAGCAAAAGTCGGGTGATAAGATGTTGAAGTTGGTAGATGACATGTGGAGCATATCATCTACCATGTCTATTTAACCAATACAAATGTTCTGTTCAGCGGGTCTCATAAGCAGGTCTCATGAGGTGCTTAGGATCTCGCTACAAGATGAGCAACGGTTGTGGTCACTCTTTGTCTTCCCAAACTCTACCTGCAAATATGGCGATTCAATTGAGCAAAAAACGAAAGGTTAGTTTTACCGATCATTGTTTTTAATAAGGCGTTTTTACTCTTATCTCCAAATTTGTTTCTTTTTAATAGATTATCGCCAACCATATTGATGCTTTAATCGATGAAGGATCCGAGTCTTTCTCATGTTATCCGCACAGGTACAATTACCAAGCACTGTGTAGCGAAATTTTTTTTCAACAAATTTGAACCAAAATGAATAATTTTCTAACTATAATCGTCTTTTTTGGGATTTATCAATTGTACAGGCATATTCAAACCTTTGGACCATCGTCAACAATTTGCAATAATTTGTTTGATGGTATACCATTTAATTTGGGTAAGTATATATTTTTTTGTTTATTTGTTTTTAGGCACTCAAAAAGAAAGCAGAACTCATAGTTGCAACTGTTGACCGCCAATGAATCGATGCAATGGTCCAAATTATATTTTAAGAAAGATCAGTTACTCATTTATGAAATGGAATAAAATGATAAGTTAAGTGAGATGAATTACTCATATATGAAATTGAATAGAATTATATGTTCCCTAAGATAAGTTAGTGATCTATCAAATGGAATAAAATAAATGGATCATTTCAAAAAAAAAACACAAAAATGGACCGATTAGTCAAAATTGAGATGCTAGAGGACCTAAGAGCATGTTTAATTTGTTTCCAATACCTAAACTTCTTGGCATTTGCTCAGTTTGTAATTTGTATTTACATTTGAACTCTGAAAGGTTCTTCTCAGTTTTTCCTGAACAACAGACACTTGTGCCTATCGACGTGTCAAGGGAAGGGGACGCAGGTGTTGAGGTCCACTGCCTCCGCCACAACCTTCGATGGTGAGTCTGCCTTTCATTCTTTTTTTTTTTGTTTTTTTTTTGTATTCGTATATATACACTAAATTTCCGATTCATGTCCAAATCAATTTATTTATATTGTTGGTGTAAACAGGTTGCAGTTGGTTTTAGGTGATGTGGAGGAATTGCTGTAAGATTAGATTTCAAGCTTTTTCAACAAATGTCGATTTTTTCACATATGAATATCGTTTTAATGCCCTTCTGTTTCAATAAGGTACCGTTCAGTTTTGTGTGTTTTTTTATTACTTTCATCTATTCTTCTTCTTCTTACCTCTTTTCATCTCATTATGACAATTCTTCATGATGTTCTTTGCATTTGCTAATTTTAGTAGAGATATTTCATGATAGTTGAAACCTAAATGGCAAATTATCTTCAAAGTTGCACATGATCTGATAGTATTTACCTTTTAGATTCATTAGTAACTGCTTTTTCTTAAAAAATGTAGCAATTTATTTCATGGATGATCTATCTTTCAGTTTCTTCATAATTGATCTACAAGTGTTTTATCTGATCACTATTACTATTACAGCTTCGATTGCAGGATACTCTTACAATCAAACCTCCCAAAAAAAACTTCATTGGTGCTGAGATTAATGCTGTCAACATTCGCACGGCTATGTGATATTTATATATGTTTCATTTGCAAAAAGACAAAATATGTGTAAATATTAAGAATAACAAAGTACTTTCTTTACAATAACCCATGACGGACCAAACTATCAAAACGTACCACAAATGATCAAAACAATTGATCAATAATCCCTTATTACAAATCCATATCCCGCAGAGCAGAGCGGGGTTTCTCCACTAGTTTACATTAAAAAGTACTTTGTAAAGGAAAAAAAAGGCGTACAAAAGCATCCAGCGTGAAATAAAAATGCCAACTAAATTTATACTATAGAAATAGTTTGTTTTGGGAAAAAAAAAAGTTCACACGAAAGTAATGCAGGAGAGATCAAACCCGGGCTAAAGGATTGACGAGGCGCCCTTTTACCAAGTGAACTAGTTATATGTCAAATTCTAAATATTTTGTTATTTATTTAAATATAAAATAGATAATACGGCTAAAACTCGGGCCCTATTCTTTTTGGAGCCCTGTGCGACCGCACACCTTGAACTCCCTTAGGGCCGGCCCTGCTAACCTTTAAGCAAAATTGGATTTTTCTTCTTGAATATTTGTAGATCTTAAATTCCTTGATGCTCTTGGATGATCTAACACCCATAGTAGAGTGCCTCTATGTGGCACAAGACACAAAAAAAAAAAGAAAAAAAAAAAAACTAGACAAAGTAAAGGGTGCAAATTTTCCGGCACTACAAAGGTTGTCGGAGGATGATGCATCACATGATCGGTGTTGTGCATGTATGTATGACTTAAAAGGGTAACGAACATTTTGGAAACTACGTTACCCAATTGCATAAGATACTTATATTTTAATTGCATAAGATACTTATATTTTTCTTATTTATCAAAGCTAGTCCAATAGTTCATCATCTTTATATTTCATCTTATTTTCTTTTGTCAAAATCATTTCAAACGAGTTTATAAAGACATCTTCTCTTGAGATATCATGTAAACGAAAAATGTGTACAGTTAGAGTTGTAATTCTGGAAGGACGTTTGACTGTAGTGAAAAAGACCTATTTGCCCTTGCATTCTCATTACACGATTACACAATAACATTTAACTTCCATTATTTAGAAAAATGTCACCTTTTTTTCCTTATAATCACTGTCATTCTTCTCATACAATCATAACTAAAAATTACATTTTTTTACAACAAATTTTGATTTAAAAAATCAGAAAAAGAATAATAATATTGTTTGTCAAATAACAGAAAACACATCCACATACCCCAACACAAGCATGCATGATTTGCTTCCTCCCTTAATGTGTATGATACAACAAATATTGTTGTGTTGTAAATAGATAGAAAATAAATTATCAAACTCAATAAAATAAAGTGATGAAAAATTCAAATAAACAAAAAGTCGCACACTAAGATATATAGTTTTAATTTTGACAAAGGGTAACATTGGAATTTAATAAAGTTAGAGTAACCATTTTCCAAACAAAATATGAAGTTGATGATGAGGTAATGTTGATTCTATAGGTCCCTAGTTCTTTGTCTTAATTCATTCAGCTCTTTCTCTATTTCAACATCTGGAAATGGATATGCTGCTTTTGAGTTGGAAACCGTTGTTGTTCTCCCTGGTGGAAGCTCTCCTTTCTGTAAAATCCCAAAAACGCCCTTATGGTAAAATAATGTAGGGTAACATGCATATTTATCTGATTTTGTATGAAGGGTGATAATGTGATTAATTAATGTTTAAAAGGAAAGGATTAGGAAAGAAAATAGAGAAAAATACCTTTGTGGTTCCAGATAGTTCCTTCTTTAAGCTTGCAAGATCATCATCAACTGATGAGCTCTCCAGCATTGCAAACTGCAAAAGGGTAAATGAGTAAATATGGATTGCTTTCTTTATTTTATTTTAAACAGAAAGGAGTTAATAGAGAAAAAAGAAAATTTACCTTTCCTCAATTAAAAATTCCATTAACTTCAAGAAAAAAAAAAGCGAAGGATGAAAACAAACTTTGCTGACTGTGCACGTGCTTTGAGAGTATCTTTCTTTGACTTAGCCTCTTGTATCTTGCTTTCTAGAATCTGTTAAGAGAAGATTAAACAACCAACAATGTTGAAATATATACATTTAGATTTTGAAAAAATATATATATTTAAAAAGAAGTGAAAGATATATATATATATATATATATATATATATATATATATATATATATATATATATATGAAAATAAGGAGACACACACCCGAGTATTATTCACGAGATTTTCCACAACACCTTTCTGCTGATCAAGTTGAGTCCTCAAAGAAGCTGCATTGTCCTATAAAATAACACTGTGTGTAGACAGATACATTATATATATATATATATATATATATATATATATATATATATATATATATATATATATATTAAATCCAAGGGAGCTTAGCAATAGTACTTTTTTTACCTTTAGGTTTTTGCCACAAGAATTTAGTGAATTTGACACTTTTAGTCCCTAAAGTCAAAACTTTTACATTTTTATGTTTTGATTAAGTTTTTGTGTCTTTAGGTTTTTGCCACAAATCTTTAGTGACTTTGACATTTTTAGTCCTTGCAGTGAAAAGTTTTACATTTTGGTGTTTTTGCCACAAATCTTTAATGAATTTGACACTTTTCGTCCTTGTAGTCAAAACTTTTACATTTTGACATAAAAAACACAAATAACCTCCTTTTGAATTTTGCCACCATATTTTCTCAACTTTGACAACTTTAACATTATTGTCACAACACTCTTGGATTTTATCCACCAATGTCCATTTTTTTGGTTGTACAAATTTTAGGGGGTGTCAAACATTTTTAGTCCTTGCAGTGAAAAGTTTTACATTTTGGTGTTTTTGCCATAAATCTTTAATGAATTTGACACTTTTCGTCCTTGTAGTCAAAACTTTTACATTTTGACATAAAAAACACAAAAAACCTCCTTTTGAATTTTGCCACCATATTTTCTCAACTTTGACAACTTTAACATTATTGTCACAACACTCTTGGATTTTATCCACCAATGTCCCTTTTTTTGGTTGTACAAATTTTAGGGGGTGTCAACTTACTCCCCTATTTGTGGTGATTTACAATTTCAACACATATCTTTTAAAATTTGCCGATTTTTCCCATAATACCCGAAAAGCGGCATAGCCGCGGGTTCTTTACTAGTTTTTATAAAAATATCAAAAGCATTATGACTGATTTATAAATTTCCTAAAAAAAATGAAGTCTTACTTACAGCATAAGATTTACGCCTCTTTAAAGCTTCACGTGCAAGATCTTCATCTCCCTTACTAAGAGCAAGTTGTGCTCTTTTATACCTACAAATTTAATTCTTGTTTTTTATTAAAAAAAAACAAAACATTTATAAAATCACTCACCAGTCTTGAGAAGCTTGCTCAGCAGCTTTATATTTGTTCTCCAACCGCTTTTGAGATGCCAAAACCTTCACAACCACAATCATGAAATTAGTTTCATATCCAAAAGTAAATAAATATATATAAATAAATAAAAAATGAATGTGTACTTGGGCTGTAGCTTGACGCATCTTTATAAGATCATCATTCATTTCAATAACAGCTTGCTCTAAGATCTTTTCTGGATCTTCAAAGGTGCTAACAAGTGCATTTGCATAGGACTAGAGATCAAAAACAACAATTTAAAACACATCAAGTATTGTGGTTCATGGAAGCCAAAAACTATATGACATAATATTATTAATAATAATAATAATATCCCAATATTTCTACCTTGACAATTCGTGCAAAACGATCAAAAAGATTCATGCGGATCCCATAACATCTTGTATTTCTAGGGTGATCTAGTCGTATTGTAACCTTTAGGGCTCCAACTGCAAGACAAATGTAAAATGATTAAAAGGACTTTTGCTCATATTCATTCGGCCTGATTTATAAAAATTCATAAAATTTGAAATAGGTCTGACTATATTAATCAGTAAGTTACCTCCAGAACCAAATAACGATGTCTTGTTAGTTGGAATCCTGCAAAATCCAATTTTGGTAGAAGAATCCTGTACCGAAGCTAATGTTGTTGAAGCGATACTTAACCCTGCAACAGGTGCTCTCAATGCCATTGAATTCTTTGATGAATTAAAACCAAACCCTACTTAGGTCGACCCAAATCCCCAAATCGTAACAAGTAAGAAGATTATATATATATATATATATATATATATATATATATATATATATATATATATATATATATATATATATATATACAAAGGGATAATCGATCACAACTGGGTTTTCATGCTGCTATTCTTCTCTGTTTTGTTTTGGGGTTTCTTACTTGTGGTGGCGATTGTATTGCAACTTTCGTTGGGGTTGTGCGAATTGCGATGGCGGAAAACGTGATGAAACCGAGGTGGAAATGAATAGCCCAAGTTACTAAAATATAGAAAGTAAATATATTAAAAAGATTATTCACAAACATAAACTAAAATCGTATTTAGGGTTAATTTTAAAACATTGTCCGTTATTATATAAATACCATTAAACTAAAAAAAAAAATATCGTCAAAAAGTAAAAAGTTTTGACTTTTATTTTTAAAATGCTATTGTGATCTTTAACAGTCTTTCTTTCAATTTCTTCCAATAGTGATATTTTAAAAATAAAAATGATAGTTTGTTACCATTTCATATTTTTTAGTTCAAAAGTATTTTTAAAATACTTTATATAGTTCATTATATTTTTGTAACTTTTTTAGATCATAATTTAATAATCCATTTTTTTTCCATTATTCATTTTTAACACTTGTTTATTATCTAAAATACATTAAATTTATTAATTTTGTAATATCAATAACTACACACCAATATATCTTTATTTTTAAGACAAAATATTATGTTACAATATTCATATTTTAATATGCATATTTACTTCAACATTATTTTGTTCAGATTCATCTTGACCTCAAATCCAATAGTCATATCATTTATTTTCATGGATTTTCATGAGAACTCATCTGTATTTTAACTTTTTAGATCAAAAGAATAGATTTAAATAAATTTGAGATGCAACTAGATCAAACGAAGATGGCTAATTCATTTTTTTTTCATTTTGTACACTTTTTTGTTGTTTTAAAAATAATCAAACATATAAAATTAATAATCTTTGTACTCTATAATTAGATATTAGTATCGATCTATTTTTTCATACAAAACAAAACTTTGTTACAAAATTCATAATTTAATGATTATAGTTTTTGTTAAATTGTTACTGTTGTAACATAACATTTTGTATGAAAAAAGATTGATCTTGATGTGTAATTATTAGAATTACGAAATTAATAAATTTAATGTGTTTTTAGATAACAGAAAAAGTACTAAAAATTTTGAAAAAGAAAATATGATTATCAAATTGTAAACTAAAAAAATTATGAAAATATAACGAACTATGTAAAATGTTTTAAAATATCATTAAACCACAAAAAAACATGAAAATGTAACAAATTGTCACTTTTGTTTTTAAGATATCATTGTAACCCAAGGGTTATTGCAGATCACAATGGTATTTTAAAAACAAAAGTTAAAGTTTGATATCTTTTGACAACGTTTTTTCAGTTTAATGGTATTTTAAAACATTTTCGATAGTTTGTTATGTTATTATGATATTAACCCTAATATTATATTCTCAAAAATATATTTAGGGTTAATCGCATATTTATGCATCAAAGTTTAGTCATTTATGCAATTATGTCATTTTTTATACAAAAATACAACAATGTTTTAAATTAGGTCCAAATTATAAAGCATGTTAATCTTGTTACTGTTAAAATTTTAATTAACGTTATATTTCAATTTTAAAACCATAATTGTTACATTTGTGGAGAATATACATTGAATAACAGTTGGCATCATAACTTTTGTTCTATTGGCAAGATAGCAATGATACAATATACTAAATAATAGTTAGCCCATTTGAATTTTCCAATAAAACCGATCAATTTTTGATAACTAATATTTCGTTTAAAAATATTAATTTTCCAATAATTTACTTATACGTTGGTGTTAGCAATTGAAGATTGTAGAAATAGAAATTGAAGAATATATAACAGCAAATTGTTAGAGTGGCGCATGATTTGTTTTTTCATATTTTTAACTCTTAATCTTGCCTTAATCAATAAAAGAGAGCAATATAATGCATGCCATAATCGATCGAGAAGTTGGTAAATTTCAAATGAAACAATGTCCTCCAACCATTCCCCTGATATATGAGATATATGATTCGATAAATCGTAGGTAAAGAGAAAGACTGAACAAGGAGAAACCATGGCAGAAAATACATCACAATGAAGATTGGTATAATATCCCAAGAAAGACGATGACAACGTATCAACCTCAAAACAAGATCACAACTTAAGATTTTAAATGATAGATTTTGATTATTTGGAGGAGTAGCATCGACAATTATACATGTGGATTGTCCACATAAGCGATTACATGGTTTCCATTGAAATATAACATCATTAAAAATTTTAAGAGTTGTTAGGTTAACAAGTTGCATAATTTAGACCTAATTTAAAATATTGTTGTATGTTTTGTATAAAAATAACATTATTGCATAAGTTGGAAAAATGACTAAACTTAGTTGCATAAATAAGCAACTAACCCATATAACAAGTTGCATAATTTGGACCTAATTTAAAATTTAAAATATTGTTGTATGTTTTGTATAAAAATAACATTATTGCATAAGTTGGAAAAATGACTAAACTTAGTTGCATAAATAAGCAACTAACCCATATAACAAGTTGCATAATTTGGACCTAATTTAAAATATTGTTGTATGTTTTGTATAAAAATATCATTATTGCATAAGTTGGAAAAATGACTAAACTTAGTTGCATAAATAAGCAACTAACCCATATATATATATATATATATATATATATATATATATATATATATATATATATATATATATATATATATATATAGCTAGGTTCAAATGTGGATTGAAATCTATTGTGCGGACATATGGACAGTGCTATTCTGTGAGAATGATAAAGAAAATATGTTGTTTGATAATGTGAATACGTTGATCTTACATAATTATTGTCATTATCACTCATTCTCACTAATTAAATCATCTATAAGGTTATTATAGACTTTTTATTATTATTCTCATTCTGTCAGAATGTTTATTGATTCGTATTATATAAGAATGAAAATTAGTAAAAAACGATGTGTGAGAACAAAAATAAATAAGAATTAGTGAAAATGAATGAAAATGACGATAGTTGTGTAAGGTTGAACGTAATCACATTAGCAAACAACCTATTCTCTTAGTATTTCTTATAGAGAATAGCATTGTCCACACGTCCCCACAATAGTTGTTCATCCACATTATAACCTAGCCCTATATATATATATATATATATATATATATATATATATATATATATATCTATATATATATATATATATATATAACCCGTTGGAACCACGGTTACAAAATTAATTAAACTTTTATAGTAAAAATTCAAAGTTATTAATCAATTATTTTAAATAAATTATTAATTAAAAGATTTTTTAGTTATATAAAATTACAATCATTGATTTAAATAAATATGTGAAATTATATCACTTTATAGGTTGTATTAATTTTATTTTAATGCTATTAATTTAATGTAGATAGAGTGAGCAATTTAAAATTTAAAATTTAAAATGAATAATCAATAGGTTGACAAGTGACAAGTATTAATTAGGAGACATAATAGGGTGACATATGGTAAAAGAAGAATAAAACTATTCTTTTATTAGAATAGGAATATATATATATATATATATATATATTTCTTTTTGTTTTGAAATTATCATCTTTTTACTAATTTTTTGTTTGTACCTTTTCACACTAGATCTTATTATCGTTTTACTCCCAAAATATTGTCTCGGATTTAACAACTCATTCCTAACTTATTAGGAAAATGACATTGGTTCCCGTCTCATTCCCCTCGATACCAATCAGAATACAACCTTTTGCAAAATACAATTGATCTACAAATATATCTATGGATCTGAGCTAAATAATCAACCACTTTGAAAATAAATAAATAAAGCCCAAAACTCAAAAAAATGAAGTTGCAAAATTGACTTTTACAAGATAAAATAGTCTTTTTTCAGTCAGCATCTCCAAGGTCATCACTTTCATCTCCTCGTTTGGATATTGCTACAGAACCATAGAACCCGGTTTGGTTTCTTCCTCTTTTTTATTCCCTTTTCCTAAAGGGGGTTTCATTTCATGTTTTACCTAAAAATCCAAATCTAAATATAAATATAATGATGTGTATAAAGTATACCAATCAACTTTTAAACTTATAACCTAACAAAACTTAACTAACTATACACTTATAAGCAATGTACCTAATCAGATTATAGAATGGTAAGTAAGTCGGATGTTGATCACAAGGAACATTATTTAATTAATAAAATAACTATTAAAAGTTAAACTAAGAAAAACAACTAGAAGTGGGGGGTTTTATATGATTTTACAAGTTCAGATTAACTTAATTAAAATAATCAACTAATTACTAAAGTAAAAAAAAACAGAAAGATGATTTTAAATCAATAATAAAATATACTTTTGTTTAGCTTCGAATCCCTCTTGTTTCCTATGGCTGATTTCAAGACAATGGATTAATTACTTTAGATACCAAATAAAAGTTACTAGGCATCATGATCAGACTAACTAGCATAAGTCAATTCAATAACTTTAACCCCAATGATCATGCAAGTTAAGGACACTAGATTGATTTTAAAGGTAATTTGGAATCTGAATGATAGAATCTACAGACTACTATTCTTTGGTCAAGTCTAGTAATCAAGCAAATATTATGATCAAATACTACTCTCTAACACAATTAAGCAACTAACTTATCACCTATACTAGGATACGACTAGTCACCAGTTCTAATAGTTTAATGATCATAAATAGTTAGGTAAATCAATTTCATGCAATTAACTGCAGCTTAACTACACAATCTTGAGACAAAGCAATAAAGATAGAAACTTTACCGGGCTAGCTTTAGATTTATCAAACAATATTTAAACATACAACTAACTTCATCAATCCATCAAGGAAGAAATCAACACATAGCATGTAACACCCGGTTTCGAATCGCTTCATTATTTTGAGGCTGCGACTCGATCATCAATTATCATAAGGCTTAGGAGCTTAGGGAAGAAAGGATTTGGCCCTTTTGAATGAGGGTGTTAAAGTCTAAGTGATCCGAGTGTTCGATGGTGTTTCGGAGCCCAAGGGCATAATCGTAACTGGTTATCTCGTTCCTTTATGAATTTTGGGTTTGGTTCGGTGAACTTCAAGACTATGATGGGTTGCTAGAAGTGTAGGGCTTCTCGCCACCTTTCCGCGGATATAAAGTTCGTCGGAAACGGACTTAGAATGAAGAAGTTATGGTCTTCGGAAGAATTTAGGGTTTTGGGAAAAACCCCGGTACGCGGGGAGTACATGGGTGGTACGCAGGGCGTACTCATGCGAGGGAATTTACGCGGTGCGTACTTTGGCATACGCTTAACGTAGTCAGAAGTCTTGGTCACGAAGGTTCGGCCTCATACGTTGGGTGTACGAGGAGTACGCTAGGCGTACGAGGGGTGTCTAAACCCTAAATTTTGATCATG